TATGCTAAGAGCTGCTGTTGAGAATGCAGTAACATGATTTAACTTGCTTTCGGAAAATGCTGGACGCTACATTGAACATGCTTTGTAACACGTTTCGGAAAATATTAAACACATTTTAAACAGATGTTTTCGTGTCTTATTTCATTTAACAATATTGTATACAGCGCCATTTTTTCCCTGATGGTGAGTTTTTGAACTCTTTTTTTTTTCCACCGAAAATAAATTCCCATAACCTCCTTTACACGATTCCCAAGTTTTGATAACATTTGGTCTGAAGTTTCCTTTTATGACCATTTCAATTGAAACTTTAATTATAACCACCATGTAAATTAAACTTTAAAAGTTTGACAGTTTGGTTCAAGTCCCCAGCTTTTAAAAAAATATATTAAATATAACCTTTTTATTTAATCCTCTTAGAAAGAATGTTTTAAGAAGCTATTTTCTCTCGCGTTATAGACTGTATAAAAAAAACATGATCTTTAGTATGATTTAGATTGTTTCAGCCGATATAAGAAATCGGTTACTCGTTGGTACAGAATAAACCCTGCTGGACTGTTTTATTTCTTGTCATTTAGCAAAAATCTTTTAATTAAAATATTTATCCTTTGGACTTCGCTTTAAACTTTATTTTATAGCTAAAATGACTAGAATGAAAAGCTGTCTTTAGCTGAAACGCAATTATATAATTGAATATTTTAAAAAATTGACAAGAATGCAAAATGTATGGAAGTCTAGCAGTCGAAAAATCTTAATTTTCTTGTGTGAGCACTGAAAATAACTGTAGAAGGAAAGAAGAAAATTAGGGAGAAAAGTAAGCAAAAATTTGCACTGAAATTTGGCTGTCAGACATACCAAGATGTTCAAAAAGTTGGACGCTTTCGAATAGACTTTCAGGATACTTCAAAGAATTTAGGTGTTCAAGAGAAAACACTTGGACGTGTATACCAGCAAATACCATCAATTGATCTTGTGTTAACGAAAAAGAAAAAACGATATCATTTCAGATTAAAGTGAAGAGCGACTGGTTTTAAACTATATGGTTGTATAAATTTAAATTGCTTCATAGAACATCATATCATACCACAAAATGGAGCATCCCTTGATTTCTAAGTCGAATTATTTGAAGATTCAGGAGTTTATCAGTGATGTATGTGGATGTCACCTAAAGATGTTTTTTTTTTTCCCTTCCTGATGAAACAGCGGCCGAGCGGTAAAGTCGCTGAACACTGGTAGTTCGGTCCGAGGTTCGAATCCCGCGAACGGGCTGGCTGCATGGGCGTTTTCGTGGTTTTCCCCATGGTAACGTGTATGCGAGCCAGTTTCCCTTAGAAAGTTCTCCAGGAAGGCATCCCTCCCCTTAGGCAGATAGCCGTAGTATGCTTTGTCATAATAAAATAAACCAAAACCTTTTGATGAACCAGTCTTTCCTTTCATCTCATACCTTCAAAATGCTTAGCCTCTAAAGACTGATAAAGGCTCTGACGACCAAATACTGATGAAATGGATTGAATTAGATTGTTAAGTTATGGGAAAGCAGGGCTATCTGCCTAAAGGGAACTCGATTATTAAGCTAAGGCAAAGCAGGGCTCTTTGTTTAAAAGGAGGATGTGTTCATGAAGAACTTTCTAAGGGAAACCAGCTGGTCAATACACGTTACACATGAGAAAAAATCCACGAAAACGCCCATGCAACCAGCCCGTGCAACGCGCTGGGATTCGAACCCCAGAGCGAACTACCAGTGTTCAGCGACTTTACCGCTCGGCCGTTTGCTGGGTCTTTATGGAAATGGGAAGGCGATAAACTTTATTTAAAATAATGTCAGAAATACCAAAATGTTTTCGAAAGTTGGATACTTTTCAGTATACTTTCAGAATGCTTAAAGAAAAGAAAAAAGAAAATAAATTTTTTCGTAAAATTTAGTATTCGTATTTTTTTAAATTTAAAACTTTTCAATCTTATGATATTTGATTCTTGCGATTCAAAAATAAAATATTTGACTAAAATATGAATAACATTTTAAGAAACCAAATGTAGGATAAAATTGTGTAAAGCATGGGCACAATGATAAAACTGTTTAAAGCAGTGTATGCAAGTCATCCTAAGTTAAAATATCGGTATACATCTCTCTTATTTATATATATTTTTTCTGAACGGAACATTGAAAGCGTGTAAAACTGTGCTTTACTGTATTTTCTCTTTTAATATAGTATGCAGTTTTCAAACGCATCGTAGTCTGGGTTACAAAGTATTCTTCCGAAAGAAACGCAGTTCAAATAAATAAAATCAAATTCTGGAAAATTGATACTAATAAATATATTTAAAATGCTCAGTTCGAAGGAATAAATAGAAAATTTTTAAAACAATTATCTGAAGAGACAATGCAACACAAACAATTAAAATAAAAGTAAAAAATTTTAAAATACCTAAAATAATAACTATGACGAAAAATATATATAAAGAAAACTATTTAAAAAAAAAATAATAAACGCTGCACCTTTATTTACGCAGTTCGAATAGGTAAATAGAAATTTTTAAAACAGTTATTCGAAAAAAAAAAAAAAAAAAAAAAAAGTGCAACTTAAACAATTAAAATGAAATTCGAAAAAGAAAAAATTACTTAAAATAATAAGTTATAATTAAAAATATAATATAAAGAATTATTTGGAAAAAGGAAACAATGGTGACTTTTTTTCCCTCCACGGGAAAGGAAATAGGTTGCCATATATTAAGAAGTTCGCCAAGTAAAGTATTCTTGTTCGTAAACTGACAAAAAGTGCCAATATAAATTTGTGAATTTCTCCGTAAATTTCGCTCCAAATTTTACAAAATTTCATATTTAGGGGTAATTTGAGTCGTAAAATCGAAATATGTAAAAAAATTGGTATGTTATTTCAGAAAAAGTCCTATTTTGTGTCAAAATACCTATGTTAGAATAGTGCTATATATAAATCTAATATATATCCTAAGTCGCGCTTTCGAGACATGAAGAACGCAATTTGAATTTTGTCAGTCGGCCCAGTAGATCGGGAGATATAGGACTGTCCCATTTTTTTTTTTTGAGCAGTGTACCAAAAAGGTTGTACGCAAGATGAAGGACGTATCAGATTTATCCTGAATGCAAATGAATTTGCTAGCAGATCTTTGTACAAGGTCAAAATGTAATATTTTATTTCATTAAATGCAATTATTTATAATGCAATCGTGGTTCCAGTTTCTACTAAACGAGGCTTCTAGCGCGAGGTACACATTGAAATTACACATGTCCAAGACTTAATGTTACTTGCAGTGAGTCTTCAAAACTGATGCTTTTTTATCACTTGATTATCTATTTTAAAGTAGAGTAATAACTGCTAGGTTATTAGTATTTAGTAAGAGTAAAATTTACTAATTAATTAGTTTAAAATTAAAAAGACATTAATTAATATTTAAAAAAGATGAGCATTATTAACAATTAAAATGCGATGTAAAGTCTTCATTTGAATTTTTTCTTGTATAGACTGCTGTATCTAAAACTAAAGTTTAAAGCATTATACACTGAAGTGACAAATGTCATGGGATAGCAATATGCAAATATACAGATGGCAGTAGTATCGCGTAGAAAATGTATAAATGCGAATGCTTTGGCAGGGCTTTCATTTGTGTTCAAGTTATTCATGTGAAGAGGCTTTAACGTGATTATGGCCGCACGACGAGAATTAACAGACTTTGAACGCGGAATGGTAGTTGGAGCTAGACGCATGAGTCATTCCATTTCGGATATCGTTAAGGAATTCAACATTCCGAGATCCACAGTGTCAAGAGTGCGCCGAGAGTATCTAATTTCAGCATAACATTCCACCATGAAGTGGCCGACTACCTGCACTTAACGACCGAGACCAGCGACGTCTGCGTAGAGTTGTCAATGTTCACAGACAAGCAACACTGCGTCAAATAACCGCAGAATCAATGTGGGACGTACGAGGGACGTGTCCGATAGGACAGTGCGGCGAAATTTGTCTTCCTTGGGCTATGCCAGCAGAAGACCGACTCGAGTGCCTTTACTGACAGCACGACATCGCCTGCAGCGACTCTCGTGGGCTCGTGAGCATATCGGTTGGTCCCTAAACGAATGGAAAAACGTAGCTTGGTCAGATGAGATACGATTTCAGTTGGTAAGAGCAGATGGTACGGTTCGAGTGTGGCGCAGACCCCCACGAAGCCATGGACCCAAGTTGTCAACAAGGCACTGTTCAAGCTGGTGGTGGTTCCATAATGGTCTGGGCTGTTTTTACATGGCATGGACTCGGTCCTCTGGTGCAACTGAACCGATCATTGACTGGAAACGGATACCTTCAGCTACTTGGAGATCACTTACAGCCATTCATGGATTTCACGTACTCAAACAACGATGGGATTTTTATGGATGACAATGCGCCATGTCACCAGGCTACAATTGTCCGCGATTGGTTAGAACATTCTGGACAATTCCAGCGAATGATCTGGCCACCTAGATCGTCCGACATGAATCCCATCCAACATTTACGGGACATCATCGAGAGGTCAGTTCGTGCCCAAAACCCTGCACCGTCAACACTTTCACAATTATGGACGTCTATAGAGGCAGCATGGCTCAATATTCCTGCAGGGGACTTCCAACGACTTGTTGAGTCCATGCCACGTCGAGTTTCTGCACTTCGCCGGGCAAAAGGAGGACCGACAAAATATTAGGAGGTATCCCATGACTTTTGTCATTTCATATGGACAATATTTTATAAATATGCGTTTTATTCATGAAATATTTAAATTAAATGGTTTTTACCATAATAATATAAATCGCTTTATATAAAAGATTTGTATCTATATTATATGGTGTCGTCTTAGATTGTCTGTATTAGAATTTAATTTCATGCTTGCAATGGTATAAAACATCTGTACATAGAGTTTTACTATAAAAATAAAATATAGTATTTAAATCGATTAATTATTGGTGTTATGATCTGTATAAGTAATTGTATTCGCAGATGGCCTTCACAGCAATGAGAGAGAGAAATGCAGAGAGTTACGCTGCGTTAGATGATGTAGTAATGAGAGGATGTGAGACATTCAGTAAGTAATTTTCTTTCTTTAAGAAAAAAAAAAAAGGATACACTAAAATGTTCGAAATCCGAAAGTCTGGACCTGCCAATAAATACAAAAGCTAATTAAAAATAAATAAAAAAAAATCTGTAAGAGTTTAGATTTTAACGATCTCCAAAAAGTTTTGTTAAGGTTTTCTATGCTCTCTCTGAGCTGGCAGTCTACCAGTCTGCTGTTGGAGTCAAAGTAGCATAGCAGGATGCGTTAGAATTCCAAATGCAGCGTTGAGTATTGGCATATATTTTTCTGTTTTTTTCATTTTTCCTCAGTTCACCATATCAATGTTTTCTTAGCAAGTTGGCTTTACAAAACATTTTTTGCGTCTTTTTATTATTAATGTTTCGTTCGTTAACTTTATTTATCAGATATCATGTTCTTCGCACTTACATCATATAAACTTCAATATACTGTAGATAAAAATATTTTATTCCGTCCCTGTTCTCTGAAATCGCCAAGTTTGTTAATCAAAAATTCATTATTAGAAATATGAAATATAAAATTCGAAATTAAAAATTCGCGCTTCCAGGTGTACATGTTCGGGTGGAGGACAACGTTATTCAAAACTGAATGACTCTACATACTGTTGTTTTTCCACAATACAAAGAACATACATAAATACATGCATGCAGATTCTTCATTATTAGTCCAAAGGGACAATTTGCCCACAAGGGCCAATTTGAATTTCGTTTTGGCATTTTGCGTTGTTTCACTATAAGCGTTGTTTCAATTTTCAAATTGTTGTCACCAAATATCATCGCCCTGTATTATATTTAAAGAAATTAAATAATAAAGAATCTGCTATTTGGCCTAAATTTAAATTGGAATCACAAATATCCTTCCTTATTTGTAGTTATTACACGTTTAATGAAAGCTTCTCAAGAGTATCATACACGGTTCTAGACGATTTTGATCTTCTGCTGAAGTAATCGTCATACAGGACATAGTTATTAATAATGTTAATGAAATTTATAGTTTATTTATGTTATCGAAAATATTACTGGTGCTCATTTCATTGCTTTAGGACAGTAGTCAGTGAACCGTGGTTCGTGAGCCAAATGTGACTCTTTGGCTCCTTGAGCGTGGCTCTTCCACAAGATAGCACATGCTGACGCGCGCACGTAAAAGCAAGAAAAATTGAAAATACAATACAAAGGTCATCAAATTTCACACAAGCATAAAAACAATTGAAAATACATCCACCAGTGTCATTCATAGGAAATGTTTTTTGCACAGAATTCTGCGTTTTGATTGTACTGATTATACATCAAATTGTGCTGTCGTCATAATTGTTATATGCCGAATTTTAACTAATGAAATGTTTTGAATTAATATACCATTCAATGGCAATTTTAATTTGAATGAGAAAACAAATAATGTAAAAATGAACAAACAAAGTACGTTGGTTATCAAGAGGAAAGGTTTTGAAACGTTTCGCGTCCTTATTAACAGAAATTAAAATATTTCTCCTTAAAAAGGGTGTTTATTATCCAGAACTAAACAAAGATCAGTGGATCCATACATTTGCTTTCGTGGTAGACGTTATTTCTCATCTAAATCAGCGTAATTGAAAACCACTGGAAAAAGAAAACACAGTTTTTCGATGTTAGAAGAAGTTATTTCATTTGAAAACAAATTATCTCTTGTTGTTGAAGATTTTGAAAGAGAAACTTTAATTCAATTTCCAAGCCTGTTGAAACATCGCCAAGAAAATAATTCTGATACTGGCATTTGCTATTTTAAAACATACGTTTTAAATATGAAACAAGTTTTTCTAAGCAGGTTTCAGGAATTCAGAAACAACAAATCGACGTTAGACTTTTTTAGAAAAAACCTCTTAATGCTACTGTAACAGAATTAAATTTTTCTTCCTTTAATACTGACACTGGCAACGTTGATATCCAATTGCTGGATTTAAAAAACAAAGAACTATGGAGCTTGAAATTTTAACGTACTAGGGCTGATATAGAAACATTGGAGAAAAGAAAAGGTGAGCTTAGTTCAGAGCATAAGTGGTGTGGTGTATTTAATTATGGCAAAGCACACTAGGGGATATCTGCCTAAGTGGAGGGATGCCTTCGTGGACGACTTTCTAAGGGAAACTGGCTCGTATACGCGTTACACATGGGGAAAACCACGAAAACACCCATGCAGCCAGCCCGTTAGCGGGATTCGAACCTCGGACCGAACTACCAGTGTTCAGCGCCTTTACCGCTCGGCCGCTGGTGGGCCATAGCATAAGTGGTCTGCTTTGAAAGAAGGAAGTTATGTTGATTTTTAACACATGGAATAGAATTCCTGACTCATATAATCAGCTGGAAAAACTAGCGTTTGCTGTGCTTTCATTATTCGAGTCTACATATTCATACGAACAATCATTTTCATGCATGAACCTTATGAAGAGTAAATTGAGAAGTCGTCTTATTAATGAGAACTTGGAATCATGCATAAATTTGAAAACAACAACATATAAACCTGAGTTGCACAAACTTTCCAAGGAGATGCAAGGGCATTGTTTACATTAGTGTTTGTCCGCCATTATCATGGTTTACGTTTTTGGATGCCTTACAATTTTACTTTATCAATAAATAGTATCGTTATTAAGTGCAATATAAAGTTTTATGCGACATTTACCTCTACGGTTTAACTAAGACTTAAAAACTGAAGTATTAAGTTAGTTTTAGGCAGTGATGGTTGATAGTTTTGTTAATTTCGAACTAAAATTTCATTTTTTTTTTTTTTTTTTTTTTTTTTTTTTTTTGTTTTTTCGTAAGTTTTATAAAATAGGGAATTTTTTCGTCACTTTTGTTTTGATTATACTTGTGTGAGAGCAATATAATAAAAAATCTCGTAAATTAAGGAATAAAACAATCATTTTAAAAAACAAAAAAAGCTTCAAACAAGGTCGGTTACCTAATATGTTTAACCATGCTTCTTCACGTAGAGCTATTATAATCGTTAGAAATAACTTAAAAGAAAGTTAAATGTTACTTTATTAATCATCCTACTCTTTGTATATTTTTATTTGAAAAGACTTGATTTAAGAGAACATAATTGTTTCCATGTGAGACTAAGAAAGTAAAGTAAAAAAAAATTGGATGAAACATTAGTATTTATCACTAGGATAGGTTAGTAGTATTGTCACTGCATAAATTTCGTCGATCATTTTCGCGAATTTTGTAGCGGATCAAAATGTTTCTCAGCCGTCGTGTAAATTTCAAGTTTTACTTTTTTTAATGCATACAATCTCCCCGTGGACCATAATTGTACAACATCTACACCACGGGGCTTACAAACGTAAGTTAACTAAAACATTAAATATCACGTGCATAAATAAAACTAACAAAAACAGAGAACAGCAGTCGAGATTTCACAAAAAGAGATACGTTCATTGACCAAGCCACGTCAAACTTTTCGAATCCTTCTGTAAGCATAATTTACGGCTATCTAAGGTAGAGCTAGGAAAAAATTAAATTTTCCACATCTTGAGGTACTTTTTCTGAACACTCACTAAATTATCTGATTTTGGATTGAAACTAAACAAGTAACATGCAAATTTGTCGCGACCAGATAAAAAGTAAGATACTTTAAAATTAAGCGGAGTCGGAAGCTAAAATTCTTCAAAAAATGCTGATTTGGAATTTTTGCATTTTCACATTCACCACATTTTTATAAAAATGCCATACTTTAAACTGTATGAAAATTAGAACTGTAAAAAAATAATTTTAATTTATCATCGAATGTTTTGATAAATGAGTATTTTTTACATTAAAATGCATTTATCTGCAAATGTAATTTCTTTATACTCAATGTATCTTTTCTCAGGAACTTTTGCAACCAGATATATGAATTTTTATGGCTTATTTATCATATTCCTATTATCATATTTCATGTACTAAAATGAGCTTTTTGCGATAAACTAAAGGGGAAAAAATTCAATTTTTTTTGCGAAAAAAAGTGTTAAATTTTACTAGGCCTAATACAGCATTCTATACATTACTCTAAACTGAAAAATTTTCAAAAGCTTGTAGGGTTTATATTTATTTTAACTAACATTTAAGCTATCTTTTCTGTCAAGCCTTTACTTTCCCCTGGAACTGACAATGCCAGAGTATGTAAATTTTAGTAGAACGTGTAGAGTATTCAAATTTTCAGCAGAAGTATTTTCGAGTTAAATAGAAGGGAAACGAGTTTGTAGCTGTGCTTTCTTGATTCACGAGCGTGAAGGTTGCTAGGTAGAAATTTAAGAACCGCGCGTTTTGGCCTGTGAGCTTACTTCGGCAGTTAGTTGAATCTTTCAACTTCTTATTAAGAAAGTTTGCTGAAATCTAAGCTGTGTCTTAGAACGCGGTTAAGTTAGTCACGTTTATAGAGCCTCGTACGTAGTGACTTGTTATTTATTCATTTTTAGTTGTAATTTCTTATTTTTATTTAACCGCCGGGTCGGCGTAGTTTGTGAGCGTCAAGTTAACGCATCTGTAACTTCTAAAGTGGAATAAAAAGAGAGTTAAACCCTTCTTAAGAGTTTGTGTAATTCTAGTTCACAGCAGTCACTACTATTGTTGCGGGCAAGTTGGGGCCACGCAACAACACAAGCTCATTAAGAAAAAGGTGTACTTGAATTACACAAAATATTCCAAGCGGGTATCCATAGCAGATTTTGAGGAAAGGTACTTTAGAAAATGGCCAATTTTACATGATCGGTATAGGGCGTCCCCTTAATAAAAAATGCAATCTATGGTAAATAGAAGCAAAGAACGTCTTGGTGCCCTCAACATTACGAGATAAAATACGAGTATATTCCTCATTCTACTTCTATGAGCTTCTTATAATGAAAGGACTTCCAATGATTCTTTGAAATGCTAATATTAATAGCAATGGTTGCATTATATAAGTTAACTTGAGGATGCTGCCCCATTATCCTTGATCTACTTGACGGCAAGACAAATACAGAGAAGTTCTGCTTGAAAAACTGTGCATTCATTTCTAATACGGTGCTTAAATAAAAAACACCAGATTGGCCTTCAAAAATAACAAATGCAAGGCCAATCTTATTATTCATTTTACTGCCATCTGTAAAGCAAACCACATGAAAACACTTAGTTTCTTCATAATCGCAGAAATTCATGGACACTAAAGTAGTTGGATGAGGAATATCGGGGAAAGGGACATTTCCATTTATGCTAAAACTTAAACTCAGTGACACAACAGCCCTATTGGGCCAAGGCCTGCAGTGCCCCGAAATCTGCGTTTTTGGTGTGCAGTGGCCCCGGGGTGCATGAGCATATGCCCTGGACAAGAGGTCAGTTTGTCACAGGCCTCCCAGTGTTTAGTCCCCAAGTGACTCATTTTAAGTGGTACTCATTTCAAGTGGTACTCATTTTATCGACTCACTCTAGGATGAAAGGCTGAGTCGACCTTGCACAGTCCGGCGATCGGACCCCGGACCTGTGGTCCTGCTACGTAACGCGCTACTAGCCATTGCCCCACCGGACCTTTTTCATTTATGCAGTCTTTCAAAGTATCAGTTGCCAATCACTCGAAAATATTACTACGTTATTTTTGTAATATATATATATTTACGATATTATATCATTTTATAACATATATATATTTATATGCTATTATATTATTTTATAATAGATATATATATATTTATACGCTATTATATATATTTAAACACTATAATTATTAAATATTTCTATATTACCGCCCAGACGGGAAAGTGGCTAGTGACTTTGACTGCTATAGCGAAGGGCCCGGGCTAGAATTCCAAAGAAGGCATGGATGTAATTTGTCGGCCCTTCATACGAGGCAACTGTGACCAACCTGTTGGGTGCCTCCATAATAACGAGACCGCCGCTTCCGGTGAACGCCTATAAATGAATGGAGCGAACACTTTCTAGACAGTTACTCATCATTCGAGCGGAAGCAGTCACGAGTGCAGTTGCTAACCCAGCATGTAGGCAGTCAGAGCAGTTACTCGTTATTTGTTGTTCTGAATAAACGTGATATTTGTTAGTGTTGAGAGAGTATTAGTGCAACGCATTACCTTAGGGTAATAAAATGTCCTTATTTAGGACACCGGACGAGACTCCTGATGATGACCTGGAATCGGACCGTTCGTTGCGATCGACGAAATCTTTACACTTTTCCCTAAAAATGGACGATCCCGCTAAGAAAGAACGAAGAAAAATAATAAGAAGAAAATGAAAATGATGACTGAGACAGAATCTGAGAAAATGGCACTGGAAAAAGGAAATAGAAGCAGAAAAGGATCCTGCATTCAAATGTCTGTTGGTACTAATGAAAAACCAAGAACCTGAAAACATATTCCCTCATGAACTGATGAAACTAAAGGACTTAACTCATTTTTCAAAAATTTTCTCTTTTTCTCCTTCAACAGGCAGCATATCTGAAGGTCAGTTCTTGGGAGGGTAACCTTCCACGTGACTGTCTCTGACGAATCAACGCGGACTATTGACAGAGCAGAGTTTTCTACTTTGGAGAGGATTTTCAAGCTCGATCTCATGGCCGTGTCACCTTCAACATCTTTTCGTCCCCAGGACGCGGTGCAACTTTTGGCACCTTTTATCTCAATTAAAAAACACGTTAGCGCCTAAGAGCTTATGAATGACTAGCTTATATTTTTATAAGTAAGTTACCAAATGCTAAACATACGATTCCAGATTCTAGATAGTTACAAAGCCTGAGAGCGAAAGCTTGACGTCACAGAAGAAGACCCGTCGCTCGTGGCTCCGCTCTTATTCACTCCTTGGTTTGCTCGTTCATTTACTGAGCTCTTGCTTGTTCCCGGTTTTTTTCACTTATTATTTACGACATGTCATTTATAATAAAGTTCCGAATGCAATTTTTAACGTAAATCTTATGCATTATATATATATACTTATTAATTAAATTAATTTTTTATTATTTAGCATTTATGTTTATGTTTTATTTAAATTACTCACATACCACATACTGTTTAAGAAGTAACTGTCCAAGCATTTGCGGAAAACAAAATTTACACAAAGTATTTATATTTTTAGTTGTTCTTAGTTTCTGATGAACTTTCAATAAGTTTTCTGAAATTTAATGTAAAATTAAGCTCTAAATTTAAGGTAGAATTCGAATTTATAAAGCAAGAGCAGTAAAATCCTGCAAAATTGTATAATCATCGGTGGAGTACTGGTTTGAACTTGTGGGAGACGCTTCGGTCTTCTGATCGTGACGTCACTGGCTAGTCAGTCGCTCGTGTTCAGGCCTTATTCTTCGAGGCGGTGTTGGTACAGCCCGGCCTCTAGAAAAAAAATATACAGTTAGGTAATTTTAACTCAGCTTTCTATTATAATATATGCAAAAGATACCCTGCAAGCCATTCCTTCTGTGAATTCCAAGCAAGAACTTTTAGCTTTGCATTATCAAAAATTTTAATATTTAAGCATTCAAAAATCCACGTGTTAATTTTAAAGATTTATAGTCCGACTGCTGATGAGTTACTATGTTGTCGATTGATTTCCTGCTGATGATAAAAGAGCTCCTCTTTTTGAAGAGCTATTCAAATAACAGATTAACAATACCCTTTTGAAATACTTTGCATATAAACCTTGCAGTAAGTTTCGTTGTTACGTATATTTGAATTCCCATTTTTACAGCCGCTGGAGACATAGGTATGTGTTCCGCCAATCAGTTCAACTGCAAGAATTCCCTCTGCATTCCTATGGACAATATCTGCGATTACACTGACGACTGTGGCAATTTTGAAGACGAGAGACAGGAAACATGCGGTGAGCAAAACAAATATATTTCAAGTTGTTATATTAAATTTGCTTTAGATCTTGAAGGAACTGTTACTAATTTTGAAGCAGAATGTATTTTTAAAGGATGTTTTCTGTACTTTTATGTTCAAAATAACTTTAGGAGATTTTTTTTTCTCATTTAAAAGTATTCCAATTACTATATTTCTTACAATATATATAATGTTCCTCGCTACTTTGTCTATAATAAAATGTCAAGGAACCTAGAAAACTAAGAAGCGACTTATCGTTGAGTTCAAGTACTTACAACGTAGACTCGAGAAGGGTTAAAATATTCCGTTTATTCACTTAATGAAAAATACTAACAGATGGCTCATTCTCGGGCTTACAGGAAAGGCTTCACTCGGGTTTTAAATCAGGATAAGACGAAAAGAAACTAATCTAATGCTAATTAAATATAGACTTAGCCGAAGGTTGATACAAATATCTAACGTAGTTGGTCTTTAATTTAAACCAGCTGGCGATTATCAACAGGCAGGTACAATACGGCCGAGTGTAATAAATTCAAGAACGAACTAGCTTAGAGGGTATAAACACGCACCACTAAGGACTCCTAAGCACTCTATTTCCAAGTAAGTTGAACTTTCTTTAAATACCACTTCTAACTCATTTGCATTCAACGCGATTTAAAAAATTCATTCTGGTACGGAGTTGTAAGTGGGAAACAAAAACTGAAAGGAAAGGGTTTCAAAATTAAAAATAACTTTTATGTAATTAATATACACCTTACGTATAAGTCACAGCTTCTATTTCGTATATGCTTCATAATAAAGAAGGTGCATTTTAGTAGTTTTCTTTGTCTGAAAAGCACAGACTTTTGTGAGTCGCTAATTATGCCTGAATTACAAGTTTTCTAAAATTAATGATTTGAATAGATATATTTTTGTTGTTCGTAAGTTAGCGTCGATTATTAGAAAACTATCACCTTGGGGTATTTTAGCCTTTTTTTAATGCAAAGTCTTTTTTTCCGGGGGGGTTAGGTGGTATTCAAATTATGGAGTGCTTCTTGCGATCTATGATATGCAAAAATTAGAAAAATGCGGTATTAGGAATAACTTTTACAAAAATAAAATATAGCCTTATGAAAGGACTCTCTATTAAATCCATTGCTGTTGATGAGAAATATAGTAATTGCAAGTGTTGGATAATATCTTCTGTATGATAACAACTTTCTGCATATGAAATTAAATTTAATTGACTTTTGTGATATAGATGACTTCGCCCCCCCTTAAAAAATGTTTTACTACACAAAAATACTCTAATAGCAAATAAAATGTATTTACGCGAAAGATAAGAAATTACTAAACCTAAATTAATTTCCATTTTTTTCTTCCAACAGCAAATGCCATTTCTCGATGCAGTTTCGACCAGTCCTTCTGCAACTGGATTTCGGACAGTTCAGCTGGCTCCGCTTGGCAGTTAAAAAGTCCTTTTTCTTCTCTTGACCAAGGCCCAACGAGAGACCATACGACAGGATCCGGAAGTGGTATGTATTTTGGTTTAGTTTGTAGAGTCTCCTTGTTCCTTTCGGGATCATCCAGTGGTAGACTTTACTGAAAAGTCTACGTAACAAATCCTCGCTATGTCTTAGAAGAACAGATACTGCAGAAGAAGGTTTAAATAACTTTTTTACTTGAACTAAACTTATCAGAACGCCCTCGCTCGGTGATCACAATTTACTAACACTAGTGGTTTAGTAACTCGACTAGAAAATAAAAATGTAAAATCGCGATAAAGTAGATGGGCTACGCGACTGGCTCGACTGAATTATCTAAACCGCTAAATCGGCTCTACACAGCAAAGCCGTACCTAGAATATAAATGTGATCTAAAGAGAGTGGCTAAGCACAAACTATTCACGAGCAAATCTACTTAAACACGTCTCGTCAATTTGAAAATAACTCTCCTCCTATTATTTTTTAAACCACTGCCTAAATACTGATTCCAAATTCACTTAGATTTGCATACTACGTCTTTAAATTTACATTCTGGTAGGAAACTGAAATCAGAAGATAAAGGAAAGTTTCACAAACTAAAAATAATTGGTTAGAATAAAGTGCGGTATTTACAAACTGACTATGGCAAAACACGCTAAGGCTATCTGCCTAAGAGGAGGGATGCCTTTGTGAAGGACGTTATAAGAGAAACGGGCTCACATACACGTTACACATGGGGAGAAACATGAAAATGCCTATACTGCCAGCCTTTTTGTCTGGAACCGAACCCAGGTTAGAACTACTAGCTTGCAGTGATCTTACCGCTTGTCCGTTGGTAGGCGGTATGTAGTTTGGACTGCGATCTGCATGAGGCAGAAGACGAGTTTTCTGTTAATTCTTGTAGGAAAGGAATAGCCTCCAGTTTCAGTATGATCCACAATGGAATCTATTAAGACCACCTCAACAGGCATTTCCTGTATACTTTCCAAAAATAGGGCAGGAAACGGAGATTTTTTAAAGCAGGAAACAGGGGAAATCAGCTGTGCTTTTGCCGAGATTCGAACTCTGGATTTCCGACTGTCTCTGCGAGTCTTTATCTAATAGGCGACTATGGAGGATGGAGACCCTCTTAATAAATCCATGTAGTGAATAAATTATCATCTACCACATATTACCCGAATATCGCTATAGATTTATTAGGACTTTTTGAAACATTGAAACGGAATGAGATATCGGCAATTCTCTCGCTGGGAGTCAAAATCTGGATATTCCAAATCCTAACCGGATGTGTTACCAGTGAGGAAAGTTAAAGATCCTTATAACTTGGTAATGCAATGTTGATGAAGCTTCATTGCATATTGAAATGCACAAAGACTTGACTTGTGTGATCATGGCAAAGCGTCGAGAGCTATCTGTCTAAGGAGAGGGATGCCCTCGTGGAGGACTTTCTAAGGCAAACTAGCTAGTATACAAGTTACAAATGAGGAAAACCACAAATACACAAAGGAATTTCGGTAAATAAAATATTAACTGCATGAAGCTTTGGAAATACTAGTGAGCAACAATACAAATCTCTGACCGCGAATGTTTGTCCTTTTTTTGGTGTTCTTTATGGTATAATTTCTTGTAATTAGCATTCCATTCACTACTTATTAACTGTGATTATACTAAAATTTATACTACTTTGATTGCTCATTGCTAGTTAACTTTGATTACCCTCATTTTAAATGTGAACTTTGTCATGTTGGTGGAAATAATGTAACGTAAATTTGCACGACTTTAATGAAGATGAAGGCTAGATGACTTTTTCTGAAGATTCCCATTTCAAGACAGTTATTTTTTTAAATGAAATTCACATGCTAGTATTTTTCAGTGTAACACATTTCTTTGCAAATAATGAAACTATTTAGAACGGTCAGTTACCATATTGCAGGTTAGGATATGTAGTTTGCGTATAGAAAAGCACATGACAGCTATCTGCTAAAGGAAAAGGATGCCTTCGTCGAGGACATTCTAAGGGAAATTGGCCCGTATTCACGTTATACAAGTATAAAATCAAGAAAACGTCCATGCAGCCAGCCTATTCAACTGAGTTCGAGTCTGGCTTGAACTAATAGTTTACAACTCGACTATCGATGGGATACATAATATTGTGATTGGTTATTTTCTGGTGAATATTATATTCTGATACAAAAGGAAGATGAACTAAGTTAATTTTTTTTCCTAAAGCAGGGGTCAGTCATAAGTAAAGTGTAGTTTGATACACATTCTTCCGTAGATGTTTTAGTTACCTATGTAATAATTTTAATGAAATTCATATCATTTCTCCCAGAGAAAATTCTTACATTTACGAAAATATTTCAGGACTGATGAAGTCACAGTCAAAAAACTAATTTATGTTTTTCAAATCAAACAATGTGTTTATCAAAACTATTCGGTTTTCAATAAATTATATTGTCTAGAATTTAAATGATTGCAACACTTACGGAGTAGAAATGCAGGATTATAGATTTTTAATTTTCGAGGTTAGACGAAATGAACTCATCAGATTATTTATAAAATGAATATATTGAATATTTACCGAATATGAATTTCATTGAATATTTATTCTTAAAGACTTAAATTAGAATAGCGGTTTTCAGTATAAATAAGAAGCAATAACGGACGACATTTTACAATAAACGAGAGAAATTTCGCAAACCAGAAATAAGATAGCTGATCTCTGAATTCTGAAGCAAGATGGTGCTCGTATGAGGATAATAATTCTTTAAAAGCTTAAAATTGTCTTTTGATTCCGTTGAATATTTTATTCTTCCCCCCCAATCGGGATAGTGATTAGCGAATGAGTGCCGTACCGAAGGACAAGGATTCGAATCCAGGAGAAGGCATGTATGTTTGTAAATGTATAATGTCTGTGCAGCGCGATATAAATATGTGACAAGCCAAAAGTCCTCTCGAGAGGTTGGATGTAGGGGAAGAGGAGTTGGAGATATCTTCAGGTTGGACCCCAATTTGGGAGGCCCAAAAGGGGTGGGCTCCACTTGTAGGGCAGAGAACCCAAGGGCTACCCGTTCCCTCGAGGTGCTATCTCTCAAACTTGGTGCCGGAACTGAGCTAAAGTCGGTCTTTCATCTACACTCATGTCCATAAATTAAGGATAATGCAAAATCAGGCAAAGGAAGAGTTAGAAGCAAAACAAATTTGACATATTTATAAAGCTTATTTATTAAACAAAAGGTAAAGAGTAAAAAAAGATGCTATATGTTTGATATTATTAAAAAAATTAGTGATTTTTTCTCCCTGGAGCAAATTACAAAAAAAAAAAGCCTATTTACAAAAACCAATATTACATGGTTGGTATGATTGTTAATACATTGTATGTCTCCCAGACGATGCAATACAGTCCGTACAACGCCTAGACATGCCAAATATCAAATTATCGATCTGATCTTGGGGGATATTACACAACTCAAAAAGCAATGCTCTCCGAAGTTCCGGTAGACATGTAGGAGGAGGTTGACGGGCTGCAACTCGTCGGCCAAGCATGTCCCACGCGTGCTCTACTGGATTCAAGTCCGGTGATAATGCTGGCCAGTCCATACGGGTGATATCCTTGGATTGAAGGCATTCGCTTACGATCCTTGGATTGAAGGCACGGTGAGGACGGGCGTTGTCATCCATAAACACAAACTGTGCGCCCATGGCGCCCCGAAACAAACGTACATGTTGTTCCAGAATGACGTCCCGATAGATTTGGCTTGTCATGGTTCGAATTTGAACATGCAGGTCAGTTCTGGAACCCACAATAATTCCACCCCAAACGAGCACTCCTGCACCTCCGTAACGGTGTCGTTCAATGATGTTTTCTTGGTGGTAACGGGTACCTGGAGCTTTCCATATGAAAGTCCGTCGAGAATCAGACTACAAGCTAAACCTGGACTCGCCGGAAAACATAACACAAGCCCACTGTTGCGGTATCCACAATGCATGTTCTCTACTCCAGGCTAACCGCAGGCGAAAGTGAGTTGCAGTAAGTGGAACGTATCTCACAGGTCTACGAGCATATAGACCAATCTGCCTTAAGAGTCTGTACGCGGTCTGCCTTGAAATTGTCGTACCAGTGGCTGACGAGACAGGTCTGAGGCTGTGCTACGCCTGTTTTGGCAGTAACTGCCAAATACCGGTCCTCATTCGGCGTTGTAACTCTGGGGCGACCTGTGCTGTAATGTCTACTCACATTACCATCATCTTGGAATCGTTGGCAAAGCCTGAAGATGACACTCTGGGCATTTCCAAGTTCGTCTGATACTTCCAGTTGGGTAGGCCCACATTCCAGACAGCCGATAATTCTACCATGTCAAAAATCATCCAAATGCGTCCTTTGTGTCATAACTATTCGGTTATTGCACTGAAATGCTTATAAAGCGCCTGCGAACAATTTTACTTCTTTGCCTCTATTCCTCATATATCACTCTCTTACACTCTCGTCATTGTGACGTACCATCTTTGTCATCTGGTTACTTCCTGAAATTTGCATATGATTCTTGAAGATGTGTGTAGTCATTTTACTGGTGATATATTTATTTTAGAGTTCGATTTCTCTGTGACTCCGAATTATCCTTAATTTATGGACATGAGTGTATATTGTGTTCAAGGCTCTTGCCAACTGTGAATGTGATAGGCTTGTGCTGACCTTTGTCAGACAATTTAGATTGTTAAAAACAACATTTATTGCTCAAAACATAAGTTAGAATAGCACTTTGCAGTTTTAAATTACGAGCAGTAACTGAAGAAATTTTACAATAAATGCAGGAAATTTTGCAAGCCAGAAATAAAACAACTCATTGCTGAATTCTAAAGCAAGACGTTGCTCATTAAATGAGTATAATAATTATTTGAGAGCTTGGAATTATATTTTAAGCGTGTAGATTTTAAATAATGATTCTTAAATTTCCAATCTAATGCATGTATGCTTATTGTAGGTCAATTTTTATATTTGCCTGGAAGAATCAGACCTGCACCAGCTCGACTCATTGGACCGATGCTTCAACCTGCTGAAGATTGCCAGGTACTGTCTTTTATTACATGCTGAATACCTTAATGCATAAAAGATGAATGATGTTTAGGATAAATAATTTCACATATAAAAATGATAAATATTAATAAATACTATGCTATGATTTACAGCAGTGGTTCCCAACCTTTCTAGCCTCATACACCCCTATCACAATAGCTAGAAAATTTCGTCTCTTCTTTCCAAAACTCGAAAAATAAATATACAATTTCATTTAAACTTGCATTATTTTTTAACTTATTTTATAATAAATGCAAAATGTATAGAAAAACGTTGATGAAAACCAAAACTTGAAAAAAAGTAATATTTTATATTCATAAACTTAAACTAAATATTACTTAACAGATAAATAAGAGTCTGACAGCCTTCCCGCCCTGAAATTTCTGCCTAGGAGAGATTTACCCTAGGGTATTTTGTGGCACATTTGACCCTCTTATTGAAAATTACAGATTCGTAGTTTGATTGTGATAAATTAAACCTAATCGAATGTTAGAGAAAGTTATTTTTCTTCCATTCGAGAGATGAAAAAGTGTATAAAACATTTGCTAAATTGTATTCTAAATAAAAACATATTTTAAAAAAAGAAACATATTTTTAAGTAAAGATTTATCGCTATAACATATATATTACTCAATTGAATTGTGAAAATTTATTATTAGTTCAAAAAGGCAACTTTCACAGAAGGGCTTTTAATTTAGTTTTGGCATTTTGCTCGGTTCACTATAAATGGCGTTTCACTTTTCAAATTGTCGCCACCAAATATCACAGCCCTGCATTTTACTTAAAAAAATTAAATAATGAAGAATCTGCATGAAAATGTATATGTTTCTCGCACTGTAAAACCCAACGGTACCCATAGCCATCAAATTTTGACTAACGTAATCTGCACCGAATATGGGCATCTGAAAGCCCTAATTTGGAATTTGTTTTATTAATTGATTTCATATTTTATAATACTTTAACGAAATTTTGATTAAAAAACTCGACGATTTCAAAGAGAGCAATGGCAACAATGTATGGAAATGAAGCATTTCTATCTCCAGAGAGCGAGACTGTGTATCGGAAATTCTAAAGATATGCTCATTTTAAAATTATTTTGTGATATTGCTGTTGAATTGAATTTTATGGTGTGAGTGCGAAGAGTATGACATTTAATATATAAAGGTAACATACAAAATGTTTAACCTTTTGCGGCGCAGTGTGTCCGGTGTGGACACACCTAAAAATTTCCTTCTGTACGCACAGAAAAATTCAATGAAAAAGGATTTATAGGCTACTATAGACTACTCTGAACTTCTTTATTTATAGTAGATGGCAGTTTAACACAAACCAGTTCATATATTTTAGCCATGTTTAGTTTTTTAAGACCCTTCATTTTTCAAAGGAAATTTTCCAAAATGTTTTAGGGTATAAAAGGAATTGTTTGAAAAAAAAATTCTATGTTATTTTTTTGGCTGTATGCTAATCTCCTTATTCTATATTAGCTTTAAAATTTTTGCCTTTAAATCTTGCCTAAAATCAAAGGCGAACTCTAGGTGTGCCCAGACCGGGCTCACCGATAACCTAGGACAACTGAGGTTCTGTATTCTTTGTTTCTCTGGATCTCATCGGTCAGTTAATTGACAGCAATGCTCGTTTCAGCACTCTTTCCGGAGCTCTATTCAATCAGTGTGCCCACTTTGGGCACACCCATAGAATTAAAACGATAAGACTCCTCTAGGCCTAATTAGACTGCCTACCTTTAATTTTTTTATCAAAACTCCGACTTTAAAAGGTAGTATGCCGAAAAGGGTTAAAAGACGCCTCTTTGGGCGAAATATAAAATCTGAAAGCTTACTGATTTTTACTTTCTTTTTTTTTTTAAATATAATAATTATTTTAAGCCTTTCAAGCAGATAGTCTTATTAAATAATATCTACACTTTAAATTTACGGTCTTAAACTAAATTGTTTTAATACCATATTTTCCAAAATCTTGACTAGCTAGTTTTAGCTAAGGGTTTTATACCTGATTATAAAATATCTCATTTCTTACAATCTGTCGGTAGATTCGCCTGTATTTCGACATCCGTGGAAATGGTCCGCTATCACTGCAAGTCAAAACTAGAACTGAAATTAATGGACAAGAAAAGGTTGTGTGGACAAGAGAAGATCCTACCGAAGGCTACTTCTACGTGGACGACAGAATTACTCTTAAGGAAACGAAAAGTTATCAGGTAATAAAATATATGTATATAATTCCTATTTCATGCAGCTTCTATACTTCTACGTTACGTACCATATAAAATCATAATTGAATGTGTTTATAAAGAGAGTAGTATGTTTTAAAATATAAAATTAAACAAAAAAAAAAAAAAAAAAAAAAAAAAACCTTCTGTTTGAAATTATGTCTGAATATAATAAAAGAATGAGTCTGCCTGTCTTTCGTTCGAGCTGCGCGTAAGCTAATAGACCCAGGGCTACGAAATTTGGTACATAGGTGCATCTAGGCAAGAACCAATGCCCCTCGAAGGGATATTTTCAAAATTCGAATCAGTTTTTGTTTTAAATTTATCTTTTCGATTTTATCGCATCATTTTAAATAGTTTCATTCTTTTAGAAATGTGGTTTTGGCAACAGTTTTTCATTCAATTGCATACCGGACTACTGACTGTTGAAAATAAGCACTGTTGCCACTTGGAAAAATGAGTGCGATAACTTTGTGCAGTTTTTTAATTTAATGTTTCTCTTGGATACTGAACGCTTGTTGAGAGAAGGCAAAGGGAAGTTCGTTAATTTTATTTATTAAGATAATTAATATTTGTATTGAGGGATATTGCTTATTTCATTGTAATTTTGTTATCAGCACTGCTGCTCCTAGGATAAATGAGGGAGATAATTTTGTGCAGTTTTTATATTTAATGTTTCTCTTGAATTCTGGACGTTTATGGAGAGAAAGCAACGAGAAGTTGATTAATTAATTTAATAGTATAATTAATATTTGTATTAAGGAATATTGCATATTTCATTGTAATTCTGTATATGTAATATATATATTTTTTTTTTGATTTGTGGGTTATTTTTATGAAATTGTTCTGCAGAGTAAAATTCTGCGCATTTATTAAATTCAACGTTTCGTTCAGGCATTTTGCCGGTACATTTAAAAGCCAGACAAATCTTACGACGAAGGCTGTCCGCGTAGCTGCTGGTACTTTATTAAAGAGTCTATCGATTTAAAGGGCAACAGTTTCAGGTTCCTCATCATCAGAAGAAAAGAATTGTATTTGTACCAAACACAAAAGAGAAAAACCGAAAGTGAAGGTAGTGCCATCTGTTGACAGAAATAGTAATTAAATTAATGAAAAATTAAATTAATAGCATTTAAAAGCATTAAGAAGTACAGGATTGGAATTATAGGCGTTAACTAAACAAGATATATCTTTGTGAATGTGAAACGCTTCAACGAAATCCAATTCATCAAAGAAAGAAGTGTTTTGGGTAACTTTTGCAGACTTACATTCAAAACTGTAATTAAATTTTTAACAATGATTAGCTATTGCAAGTCTGTTTATTTCTTCTTTTCGGACATGGAATTCATCTTTCTTGATGCAAAACTTTAACCCTTAAATGCGTGTAGTTGCCATTTGGCAACATACTCATATTTAGTCATGTAAATCAAATTAAAACACCAATTTCAGCTTGCTGCATAGTGTAACCAATTAGGCATAAAATCTTTACGTATATAGTTTTGAAAGTTTCAATGTTGTGGTACCACTAATGGTGTAACGGTCATTATTGTGAGTTAATGTGTAGCGTATGAACATCATTTGTGTTAACGAATTTTTGATTTTGTTTTGGTTGTTATTTTAATATATTCAAAGTTTTAAATTTGTTTGAATAAGTTTATAAGGTATGCATTATTATGTAAAATTGTTAAATCGCAAGTTTCATGGGATCTTTTAATGTTAAATACAACTTGCTGTAATATAAAATGGAGTAATACTGTACTTGAGTACTGACTATTAGATAAGTCTAAAGTACTAAAATTAATCACGCGGTCAGCAAGGATAATTAGAGAAGAAACCCCGATAGGAGGATCGTATAATTTTGATAGTAATAAAAGCGTTGTGTATCCGCACCCGAAATCTGCCGTTGGAAATGGCTTTGTTAGAAATCAGGTTCCCTGCTATTTTTATGAAAAATCCTTATTCCATAGTAAAACATAAAATTTCAAACCAGCATAGCATACTATTCCAATAACACAAAACTCGCATAGTCATTCAAACTGCATTCTTATTTATTAATTCCATTCTACTTCATGACAGAACATATTTCTTAATGCATAAGTCACCGGGGAATAAATAAAAATAAAATTTAAGAAAGGTAATTAAAATCATACATCTCTTTTTTCTCGGCCAATTAGGCGAAGAGATCATCCATGTTAGGATAGACGAAATGGCTTCCCACAAACGTTTGAAATCCTAGGTACCGCTATCGAAATTCAACTCCCCGCCGTTTCGGAGGAGAAAATGCTACAAGCAAACAGACAGGCACATATTTTAATAGTATAGATAAGTTCCATAAACGAAATGTTTGAACGATTGGCTGAATTATTTCTTCGTAACAGAAAGCAACTTCTTTCAAATTTTGTATTATATGACAATTTAATGGATTCTAGCGAAAGCTCCACGCCATCGCAAATAGCGTCTGCGCAAACAGTTCGCGTTGACGTGTTTAACCATATTTTATCAAACGATTTTTGGCATTTGTAAGAAAGAGACTTGCTTCAGAACACTATGTTGCGAAATGTGTAAAAATATATCGTTATCATTAAATATAAGGTGTCTGAAATGTAACTATTACGCTAGCAGATTAGAACCATCATTTCCTTCCAGTTCAGTTGCAAAAAATCAGCTACAGAATGTCAAAAAATCATGTGTACAGCTTTAAGTACTAATGGTGTATCATAGGAGAATGTGAAGGTTTGGTACCGAAGAGTTCAAAAATAAGGACTTTTACATTCAAGAAGCAGAGCGTTCTGGCCGACCTAGTTGAAGTTGGTCTGCGAGAACATAATGGAAGAAGATTAGTATTCAACCACTTCACAGCTTCCTAAGTGCCATGTCGATCAGTCGTCTAATGCATCGTGTAAACCTGAAGCACAAGCTCAATCGCTGGGTGCCGCATCAGCTGACTCAAGCGAATAAAGACAGATGTATTCGAGCCTTCACTAATCTGCTCGAATATAAACGCAAGAACAAAATTCTGGACCAGATCGTCACTTATGATTAAATGTGGATTTACTTCAACAAAACAGGCGGAAGAGGAGGTTGGACTGCACATGGTAGCCCGGTCGGCAGCGTCGCAAAGTGCAATTTGACCTAACAAAAAGATCATGCTTTGTATTTGATGGGTTTGATTTATTCTCCACAAAGATTTTCTGGAAAAAGGTAAAACTCTTGACAATAAGATGTACAACGAGATGCTAGTCCGTGTTGACGCTGCTGTCAAGGAAAAACGTCGAAGTGAGTTCCAGCGCAAAATGGTAAGGCAAGGTCCATCAAGATAGTGCAAGACCATATGTGTCTGTATTCATTGGCTGAACTCGATACGTTCTCAAATAAGATCTTTTGCCGCACCCACCATATAGCCGCGACATCGCTCCTTCGGACTTTTACCTTTTTTCACACCTGCAGCTACATCTTGCTGATACTATCTTCTATTCTGCAGAGGATCTCCGAGATGTGGTTGATTTGTTTTTGAACTCGCGGCCACCAGTATCCGGGCCTATGTCTTTGAAAAGTACTTAAAACGTTGGCAGAAAATCTTACATTTGAGTGGTGATTTCTACCATTGCTAAAGATACCATTCCTTGTTTTTCTTTCTAACTTTATTAAGATCTTTATTCGAAGGAAAATTTCCGTTACAACCAGATACACGATAAACACCATAGACAGCGAACAGCGTTTTAACGACTACCTAGCTTCATAGCAAATAATGAACCACCGCTTCGCCTCAAAGAGACAACGCAACTAAAACCGTATAAGTAATAAATGGCTTGATGCTATGATTATAGGTCATAGGTCTTCGCTTATATAATAGGTATACGACCCTGAAGTTTTTACCTATCCATATCTGTTCTTAGTTTGATACTTTGATATGCCTGTTTCAGCAGAAATTATATCCCGCTATTAGAGGCTAGCAATTTGCAAAATTATGTACCACAATAAGATACGAAAAAACGGGTGGTTAGGAATTGTAACAATAATTCATCGTATTGGATTATATTAGACTATTTTATTTGAAAATCCAATACAATAATCCATCCTAATAGGCGGAGTTAAGAAATAAAAATGGGTTTAGCTAGAGTTTCATGTCCTAGCCTCTTTAAGGGTAAACTTAGTTTTTGGAAAAATTCAAGAAATGTTTTGAAAATAGTTGAAGACAGTTTTTTCTCCTAAATTAATATTATGTAAGATTTTATTTCTGTCAATATTAACTTTTCCCTAAAGCGGGGTGGGCGAATTAGGGCAGCTTACAAGTACTATTCGAGTATACTCCGAAATCCGCAACTGTACAACGAAAGAATTCACTGGCGCCAAGAAGTTCGGCGTCGGGCGTTTAATAGGAACTTTTCACTGTAAACGGCTATACCAGGGCGAGGTATCAAAAAACAGTTTCATATAAGACACAAGATGCATACTGGTATTGCATACCTATAATGCTATTATATCGACGCACCCCAATAGTTGAAAATTTTGCACTGATATAGTATTTACACTGATAGTTAAACATTTTAAACTGATATTTAGATATTTCATATTGATTTTACTCTGAAAAATATAAATTCCACCCTGATGCACAATTAAAAGCATAAATTACCCAGGTGTCTGTAATGCGCGGATATGTCAGCTATACAAATACAAAACATATATTTTACATTGTAGCGTTTACATAAACATTCTACACTAATAATTAAACATTAATCTTGATGATACTCTAATATACGTACGGAGTATACTCTGGTGGTCATATATAGACATAAAATACCCTAGTGCATTTATAAGCACATAAGTTTAAAACGGAGGATAAAGTGATACGTTTGCGTCTGTTTTACAGTGATTGAGTACACTGTTGCATTTACATAAATATTTTCCTTGTTATTTAAATATTTTAAACTGATTTTGCTGTTGCACATACATAATTTTATGCTCTAAATATAAATTCCTATTGTTTT